GGGGGGGGGGGGGGGGGGGGGGGGGATGAAGATGTCTTTAAAAAAGCTCATATTTTTACAGGGCCCCTGTTGAGGTTATTGGTAAATTTTCGAAGCCCCCCCTCCAAGTTTTTAAAATTTTCAATGCCCCCTCCCCCTCCAGAATTCGGAATCGAAGGAGTACAATCCGGAATTCTCTCTTATCATAGATACAATTTGCAGTTCCTCAAGATGTCTGATATACTCAAGCATGTGCTTCTCAAGAAAAATACCGACCTGCTACGTTCCTTGCGTGCAAGCTATTCGCATGACAAGGCACTGCAAACTCTATTCAGGGAAGATAATAGAGTTTCAAAACTTTACAATTGCTCCAATAAACCAGTAAATACAAGCGAGGAGCGATTAGTTTCATTCTTTTAGGAAATAGACTTGCCTTCGTTTTGAATTCTTTTAGGAAATATACTTGCCTAGATTTAATCTTTACGCCCCAAATATTATTTACATCGGAGTTGCATCATAAATTGTACTCGGATTCAAACAACACAATGTCAATGACTTTATAAAAGTAAAAGCATATTGTGTATTGGCCTATTGGGTTTACACTTTTACAGGTTCATTTAACTTTAAGTCTTTAACTCTCTCAAGTTTCAACAGACAATCGGACATGCCAAATCCATTGATATGACAAATTGACAACTTCAAAAAACTTCGAAGCTAGAAATCATGATTTTTTTCAAATTTTTCCTGGGATACTTTGTTTTCTGCTCTCTAGTCTCCCACTCGCGGCTCTAGTGCTCGATCCACCCCTAGAATATAGACCTTACTGGGGTTTGGTGACACTTTATGTTGCTTCAGTCACCTGCTCACGGCTCACCCCCCTAAAATTTCTGGCACCACCCCAGTAATAAATATAAAAATCCGTCTATGGTCGCCCCCACCCAACATATCTCCTGGCATCTCTTGCAAATGTCTTTGCATGCCTGTGAAAAATGCATGCAAAAGTGCCAGTATACTTCAATTTCTTCAATTTTGATCCCGTTTGTACTAAATATCCCATAAAGATAGAACATATCATTCTTACAAATCGTATGCTTTTTTTGTTTTTGGAACTGCTTCTTTTTGGCGGGTAAATTAATGTACTTCACAAACCTGGCGCCAAAAAATTTAAAATAAGCTATAGGTGATTTCATGTATCCATTTAGAAGAGCAGACTAAGGATATCTTAAAACTTAAATTGGTTTTGAATACAACCATCAGGGACGTAGCAAAGCATCTGACGTTTGGGGGGAATGTCGGAGGATTATACGTGTAATAATTATAATAAAGCTTTTTGTGATTGATTGGTACTCTCATACTAAGTTTTGGGAGAAAAGGGGGGTCTAGGCCTCCCCCAGAAAATTTTTACATTTTTGAAGATCTAGGACTGAATTTCTGGTGTTTTCTAAAGCAACTTCGCAAACAAATTGCATGTAAATTGACTGTATTTTACAAAAATGTTTCATTTCACAAAAATAATTACTTTATTATGCAAATTTTACCTGAAAATGTCAAAATTTTAACTTGAATTTTACATGATTTTTGCCTGAATTTCAGAGTAGGAGGGAGTTTCCAAACCATCTATTCTATTAACTATGGTGGGAGTGAACACTCCATGCCCCTGCTGGACCAAAACTTTGAAAAGTTTAGAGCCCCCTCCCCCTTCAGTATATCGAGAACTTTCAGAGCCCCCCCCCCTTTAATCCCAGAAAATATTTCGGTGCCCCCTTAAGATCTTCATCCCCCCTCGGCATAATAAATGTACTTTCCCTTATGTATTAACAAGGCAAAAGTTAACAAGATTATTATTCATGAAATAAACTTGCGATTTTCCGGAAACATGTCATGATGTCGGCCTCGCTTGTTTGTTTGCGAAAACGATAGGAGACTGGTAACAAGAATGTCAAAACGCCCGACCCTGGGGAGGTTCCTTGATGTCAAATCCCCGACCCAGAAAATCAGGTCAATTCCCCGTATATCCCGGCCTCCCAAGGGTCGTAACATTGATTGGTGCATAAACTTGACCACAACACTTGTTTTGTATATATAACGCAACCTTTATTATTCAATCGAGTGAGGTGGGATAGAAATCTTGATATTTACCCATACCTGAACTTGGCAGTACCCTAGCATATGGTTATAGCCTGTCGAGCTTCATAGACTCTGTGCATGGTGTAACTTTAGTGATGCACCGATACGGAAATTCACCGATATTCCGGATAACCGACATTGATGGTCCGATATTTTGCCGATAGCGATACCGATAATAATAATAATAATAATAAACTTTATTTAAGTGCCTAACGTATAACATAAGCCGGTACCAATACAGCAATATGGATATCGGTGCGTCACTATGTAACTTAGCACTTGCCGCTTGCCCGGGGCAAGTGAATATCATGATGGGCAAGTAAACGTTTTATCTTGCTTGCCTGATTGGGCAAGTTGCCTTGCCACAAAAAGCTGGGCATCTTTAAGTTTATGTTTTCATTGGCACATTCTTATCTGCACTTTAAGGCGGGGGGGGGGTGTCCAGGACGCTGGAAAATCCAGGGGGAGGGATGAAAAAGACAGCAGAAATCCAGGATGTGGGCTGATTAGAGACCAAAATCCAGGGGATGGTCTGCGATTAAAGACATTTTCCAGGGGTAGATGCAGCCCTCGAAAACGAGGTCGACCTAAATGCCGACTTAACTACCTCCCAGGTCTGGAAATTTTTGCCGACCTTAATTCAGCCAAAGTAAGAATCTTTTTGGTTGCTGATCAATAGCTGTTAAAAAGTCAGTGATTATAGAATTCGATTCGTAGTTTGATTAACTAAACACACTTTGGTGTAAGGTTTAAAATTTGACAGGTATTCTATATATAATTTAAGTAAGACTAAAAAAAAAAGCCGTCGTGTTACTGTAGTTCTCATTTCCGCGTAAAACAGCATGCTTTATATTCCAATTTCAATGATTCGTAAATACGTGATTACTAGTGCTCCAAGACATGGAAATATATTTTTGAAAAAATGCCGCGACGTACCCCCGACCTAGGTCAGATTTAGGTTGACATTTTTTTGCCGGCCTGAATTTTTACCGTTTCCAGAGCTGTATATGAATTCCTAGGAAATTCCAGGGAAGAGGCATATAAACTGAATTCCAGGGGGTGACAATTTACCTGGCAAAAAGATGTCCTCACCCCCCCCCCCCCTGTGTGAAACATAAATGCAATCTGCCATTGTCGGGTTATACGTTTTTTATAGTGCATGTATTTGATTCAAATTCTTTTGTTGTGGGCAAAAGTTAGATCTGAGGCAGTATAACATAGCCATATAGAGCACTAAGAGCAGCGGGAGAACGAGTTGACAGGTTGTCCCCTTAATTTATACTCCCCGGCATACCTACTGTAGGTACCCCACTGGCCATTGTCTGATATGGCAAGTGAATTTTATTCAGGGCAACTAATTTTCATGTCCAACTTGCCCTGAGGTCAAAAAAGTAAAGTTACACCACTGCTCTGTAGCTCAGTTGTTTATAGCGTGGCACTGGAATAGTTCAATGTTTCGCAGCTGTTCCTGGTTAGTTCTTATAAATGTTTATATATTCCCACTCTATAATTTCCATCCAGAAAGCCTTTAACTATTATTCAATTGAGGGAGATGCCAACAAAGTCTTGATATTTAGCGACATTTACCATAGCCTTTCCCCAGTTCTAATGAGAAATGTTTGTGTGTACAGTGGCGCTAAGAATATACAATTACTTTATGGTTTCCGTGTTTGGATGGCCTGATCCAAACACGCGGGAATGTTGCGAGAGTTAAGAAAAGCGAGCAAAATCACGAGCCGAAGGCGAGTGATTTTGCCCGCTTTTCTTAACTCGAGCAACATTCCCAAGTGTTTGGATCAGTCCATCCAAACACGGAAA